GAGTCTGATGGAAGAGAATGCCACATGAAAAGGAAACAACACCAGACCGAAGCAGAAAAATGCATTTTGAACATTTGCCTAATTGACCACTTTTACAAACTCTTAATTCTGTGAAGAAGCTTAACCCGGCAGCACCTAGCAGTATTGCACTGTGTGCTCATGTCTTGAAGTGCGCAATCAGTTACAGATTTGAAATAGGATGTTCGATAATGCCTCGCTGGTGATTTGTTGATTTGGTGCTATTCCCCTCAGTTGCATGTCTTCCCCTCAGGTCCAGAGTTGTGATCGCTTGATGAAAAGATTGTGATGAAAACTCTGGGATAATATCATTTTTGGTTGGGTGCCATACAGAGCTCTCAGGTTGGTTCAGGATCCAGCTAGGGAAACCTGGCCCGGCTTATGGTGCACAGCTGTGCAGCTAGGAGCGTGTGCCAACTCATCACTGTCTGCTGTGCGAGGAGCTTGGCATTTTTTATCTTTATCAGACATTATCCTTTGTCTGCAGATGAATGTGACTGCCTGTTGGCTATCAGTATCCTCTCCTTTCAACTTTGATGTAACGGCGAGAAGTAAAAGGTCCAGAAAGGCTGCAGGTCATGCTGTGAACACAAAGCTGAAAAGTACTCGGAACGTCATCACATGTCAGAGTACAAAGAAAGTTGCAGAGTGAAAAAGACAGCATACAATACAATACATGTTGTTTCTTCAAAAAAGATGCAGTAACCGTTTGAAGCCAATCAGCGTGATTTTATAAAAGCTTGAGTCAGACCTTCCAAGTTTCCTCAAATCAGCAATGGTGTCTACGATTTCACAATTTCCTCAATTTCAAGGTCAGGTACAGAAAAAAGAAAGCTATGATCTGTTAATGTGGTTGACAGGCATATCCTAAACCGCGGGCCCCCCTCCTTCCAACTTTACACTGACTACAACAGAGAGACATGAAGTCCGGGGAGTAAAGAGTGTTTCATTAGAAATGCTTAGATGTTGGATAGCGTAGCAGTTCAGGATGAGCTGAGAGGACTAATCTGACAGAAGTCCTGCACACAGTCTCCTCCACTCTGCTCTGCCTCACGTATTCATGTGAATATAGTCAATGGTTTAATAAAGTTGCATGTGCTGCAATTCAAGGCTCATATTTCTTAAGGCATTGTCTAACCATAAAGTTGCACAGCATAATTAAGCCCCCTGTCTTGGCGTTTATGTAGAGCTAACCGCTAACATGCTAGCTGGCCAGTGCTTGTCAGTCACAATACTGAAGCTCTCCAAGCTTTTTGTTCCCAGGTTTATACGCAACTTCTATCAAATGAGAAACCCAAGGGTAGAAACTATTTCTGCGAACTCGAGAAACAGCCAGCAAGCGTTGACTTGGATGCAAATTGGACAATGAGTTCTAAAAATATATATATCTATATATACTAATAAGTAGATAAAACATTAGACAAATCAATTCTGTGCTCGATACATTCATTTGTGTGTGTATGATTAAACAAAAAAGCACACTAATAAACCACAGATGGGATTTGTGATCAAATGAAATGATTTGCTGTACAGTATAATAGTTAGGATTGTGATGAAAATCTGGGATAACATAATGTAATGTTTAAAAAAGTTATTACAATCCTCACCCTTGTTATGTCCAAAGCCACATCTGACTGGACCAAACATTGTATTATTAATATATTTGAGACCTTTTTTGGAGACATTACTCTTGCACCCAGACACTGTGGTATTTGCCCACACATTTCCGCTGTTTATTTGTTTTCATTCCAGGTTGTTATTTGCACTTTACGGAAGGGAATGTCACGATTATGGAGAGCAGACCTTGTGATGAAGATGCAGACCCAGTGGCGTGAGTATACTGTAATGATATAAAAGCTAAGTTACAGATTGAGAACAGGAGCCGTGTTCACCCCCTCGTCAGCTACCAGAGAGCACTGCTCTCTGTTTGGATGGAGCTCTGAGAGGCCGCTTTGTATGCGCATGTTATTAATGGCAACATCGCAAGCAAATCCTGCTGCTGCTGCCACTGCTGTGCAACAGTTTGTGATTTTATATTAAAAAACGGTCCTTAAACACTGAAGGGTAGAGAAAGCCACTTCTAATATTTGGAAAGGAATTTTACTGTTCATTAGTTTCTTTTATGAAAATGTGCTGCTGGATGCTGGTGGAGATGTAGGATCTTTAAAAAACTTCAAAAGAGCTGTTCCATTTTTAAACAATTGAGCTATCACAATAGCCAGCACGTTTTCTTAAGGTCTGCCTGACTGTAAAAATAAGTGATATATATATTTATTACTCTGTCCACCCAAAATGTGGACAGACTGTTTTCACCACTGCAGAACGGATTTCCACACATAAGTCTTATGTGATGCATAATGAAAGTCCTTGACTGTGGTTGCATCCATCACTCTGACCTATGGGAAACCCCTTCAGGAGTCAGGACAGGGTGAAGAACAGGTCAACGGGGGGAACTGTTGAGGTACAGGGGTGTGGCAGATGCCAAGGCCCACCTCAAAACAAGAGCAACAACATCAGGGATATCCCTGCACTATTTCTATCCCTTCAGTGAAGCGATGAGAAGTATCAGATCTTAAACGGCGACCAGAAAGCCCGGACCCGGACGTAATTGCTGCCTCTGCCGAGGCGTGGAGGCATAACCTCTCATTTCTCGTGAATAATGTCCCTGTGTCGGACGTGCCAGCCAAAACAAGTGGCAGTTTCTGTTCTCAGAGGGTTGTGGATCGGCTAATACACTCAACTGTGGCTTTATGACCGATGGGCCTGAGGGCCATGCTCCTGAAACCAACTTCCTCTCGGCGTGTCCCCAGTGCTCTGCTGGGTTTAATATCAGGTTCAGAAAGGATATTAAAGAACCGTTTCTTTAGAAAAAGTGTTGTACATTTGGCAAACCAACCATACCGAGTTCTAAGGCATGATGGGATGCCAATTTGCAGTAATTCTGCAAAAGGTTTCTTGTTTGCTTTGACATCAGGTTACTACAGAAAGCCAACAGTTACCCCATATGACTACAACACAGTAGAATTGAACGTCCAAATTCTTCAAACATTCAAAGTTTAACATTTTGTCAAATGTATTTATACGATCTTCATCCAAGAGAGAGAAGAGAAACTCAAGATCATATTTGTGTCATATCTGTACTGTATGGAGCTAGAGCTGGGATGTGTTAGCCTAGCTTAGCATACACTAGAGGCAGGGTGAAACAGCTAGCCTGGCTACGTAATGCACACCATTCTCTGAAGCCCATTATTTTTGTTTTGTCCATATACAAAAATATATTTAAAAAAGACCAAGAATTGATGTACAAATATGAGATAAATATTGTATTTTATATTATTAAGTGACTCTAACTTTTGGAAGCAAAGCAGATAATCTGTTCCAAAAAATGTTGATATATTCCTTTAAACACTTCAAGAAACTAGAAACAGGCTTAATTTCATGAGAAATTAGATAGCTAAATATACAAGCATGAAAAAAAAAACATCTGCATGAGAAAAGGAAACTTTATGCAACGCTCAAAGAAGAAAACAATGTCTCCCTCTTTGTTTGTTTGAATTGACTAAATCCTTTCCCTTTAAACAGTATCACATTTGACACTGGGTATGTCGCAGAGGTTATAAAGCTAGCTGCATGGAATTAAAGAGCCATTAATCATTGTGAGTTTATTTGCTCTGAATGATTCGTAGACAGTGGCTTCCTTCAGCTCCTAGTTACGTTTTTTTTCTCAAGGAAGTTGCTTCTTCAGAGTTCTCCGCCATACGCGCTCTTCCACTGACCCCTGCTTACAGCTGGTTGTGTTTAAACTTCAAAGAGTGATGAAGATTTTCAACCACATATTTTCAATGTTTTGCTAATTTTCTATCTTAGCACGTGGCTGATATTAATGATGAACGTCCCATGGGAGTTTGTGGCAGCCTCTGTGGTTGGGTGCTGAGCATCTGAGCTAACCGGGACCAGGACAATGGGATCAGAGAGACAAAGAGGCTGACAGACACGCGAGAGGGCAGCGGCGGCGGAGGCCAAAAGTATTTTACTGAAACCTGCTGTGCAGAACGCTGTCAAGCCTGACATGGCCTGTTTATAATAAACAAGAATAGAAGACAAAAGAATCAGACGAAACCGGATCAGCTGCAATGACGTACGCACACACATCATTACTGTGGCATTGTCTAAATATGTGCAGTGTAGAATAGCCTTTTAAAAAGATATTTAGCAACACAAATAATTACTTTTTGGAAAAAGCACAGCAATTTTCTGCATTTTCCAAAGTAAATCCTTCATTACATAGTTTTATTGTCGATGCATGCAAGTGCTTTGGTAGCGAGATGATCGCAACTGGCAAAATATATCCAACATTTTAGTTTTTACAGACAAAATAATAAGCTAGTTTAAAATAAATGCCCTGAAAGAATGTCAAATTAGATTAAATAAATTGCAAGTAATGTGGAAAATCCTGATTCATTCCTCTACATAATATATTTAGTTGAGACAGGACAGAGTTTCATATTCCTGATTGTTATAGTTGTGTTTTTACCATTTATCATTGAATTAAAGTGTTCTTATTTTGTTCATGTGGTTTTTGTACAGAACATTTGTGCAGTATTCCGAGCTGGTGAGTAACTCTGTGTTTTAATATCTCATTGCAAGGACAGAAGTCTACAGACTGCATTAGATGCAGATGTGGAACTTGTTTAGATATTGTGGTCTTGTGTGGATTACTTACGGAATGTGACTGCAGAAAACGCGAGAGTTTCACGCTGAACAACGTACGGGGTATTTGGCGTGAGATCAAACATTAACAAGAAGCGTTTATTTTTATTATCACAGTCAGAGAGCGAGGAGAGGGCTTCCTAAAATGTTTGTATGAACTCGTGATGAGGTAGTTGATGTAAACACGGAGCTTTGGATAAAAATGTGCCCGCTAGAACGGAAGCAGACGCGCAAATAAATACACACACATCAGTCAAGACAGAACATTTTATTTGAAACCTTTGTCACATATAACATATTCAACACTTGTGGTAGTTGTTATACATTTTATTTGAAGGTAAGTAAAATAAGGTACAACCAGACAGATTCTTAGGTAGTTTTTTGAGCAGTCCCTGTTAGATTTCCAGGGATGCTGTGATCATCTAATGTCAATGAAATAACACAGCCTTCCTATTAGCCAGGGCCAGGAGTCGGATGTTGCGCACGCAGCCAGCAGCAGCCTCCTGGAGCATATCTTCATCAGAGCCCATGATGTGGATGAGTGGCTGCAGGGGTACAAAGGACAGAGTTTACAGTTGGCAGCAGGAACAGAGGGCCCGGTTGGATGTTACCAGCCTATTAAATAGGCCATGTCAGTGGGTATAGATAGATATTATGGGTCAAAGGGGCATTGGACACATACTAGCTGGTTTTATCACAAGGAAAGATGGAACAAAACAAGACAACAAACTGTTTTTTGATGACACGATAAAAGGCACAAGTCAGGTAACATGGTATACAAAGTAAGATACTCAATAAAGGGTGGAGTTTGGGGTTAGTCACAAGATGGAAAACCAAACGCAGGATACACGCCCATGAGGCTTCTCTTGGTGTTACGTTGGACGCCAACAAAGTGTTTAACTTCATTTTAAAAGTTATTTTAACCCAAAACCTTTCGTAAATCTAGTATTTGTCTTGCCTAAACATAGATAAGTTGCTATGTTCTTTTTTGTGTTCAAAACATAACATTTCATTCAGTTTTACAACTGTGGTGCGGTTCTTTTTAATTTTAAGTTTCACTCGGCAACAGTACGTGCAATGTGGCCCATCTGAAGCATTCGAATAGTAGTGATAAACAATGATAACGCATATTTAAAAGGCTGATGTTATTGGAAATGGATGCACCAACAATCCAAAAGAATCATCGTTTTCCAACAGTGTCCTAATTCACCTTAAATCCTAAATAAAGTAGCTTCTGCACATGTTTTGTTATTGGACGTGCCTGCACACTACCACGAGCATATCCTTCAAAGATATGGCTGGTCCTCTTTGTGTGTGTGTGTGTGTGTGTGTGTGTGTGTGTGTGTGTGTGTGTGTGTGTGTGTGTGTGTGTGTGTATTCAGTGTGTGTGTGTGTGTGTGTGTGTGTGTGTGT